TCTGTGTCACTTTGCTGTCTTTGGAATATTAATACTTATAATGGTAATTCAATTCTCCCTGCTGGCCTTCTCCTAAGTACTTAAGTTCTCCTTTAATCTTTAAATCCTTAGACCTTTTCACGCCCTGGTGCTCATTCTTTGTTTCTGTTTTATTTTGAGTCTTTGGTCAGTTTTAAAAAAAAAAATGGTAGTGTCTTGTTTTGAGGCAGTCACATAGTTCAGTGGATAGAGCACTGGGCTTGGAGTCAGGAAGACCTGAGTTCAAATCCAGCCTCAGACACTTTACTAGCTGTGTGACCCTGGGCAAGTCATTTCACCTCCATTTGCCTTATTCCACTGGAGAAGGAAATAGCAAACCATTCCAGTATCTTTGCCAAGAAAACTCCATGGACAAGGATTGATGTGCTATGGTCTACAGGCTCACAAAGAGTTGGACATGACTGAAGAGCTGAATAACAAATTGTCTTGGTTCTAGAGAGAACCTAAAATTTTCTAACCTCATGCACTGTCCCTCGCCTCCTCCCCTGAATGGACTTCTCTCTAACCACTGATACTCTACCAGGAATCATTACTCAATAGTGAGTGTTACTCCCCTCCATCTATAGTCATGCCTTCCCAGGGATCCTGGAACTTCAGTGGCTAATGTAGAAATGCCATTTCTCAGCCTAGACTCAACATCTTCTCATTAGCCACCGCTACCCTTGCACTCCACCCTTTTTGCCTGACTCTAGATATCCTAGGTCCTTTTCTTGTTCCTTTGGAATATTTGCTCCATAATCTACAAACTTCCTTTCATCTTTGTTTTTTTTACGTGGATTTATTTTACAATCACTTATAATATTCCTACCACTGCTCCCAAATTGAACCCCCAAAAAGAAAAATAATTAAAACCCTCATCATAAACATTTATATCCAGCAAAACAAATTCCCATAATTATCTTACCAAAAATGTCTATCTCCTTCTGCAGGCGGTGAGTGGCGTGTTTCATCCTTAGGCTGCTGGATTTGCGGTTTATCATTGCATTGATAAGGGTTCTAAGGTTTTTCAAAGTGGTTTTTGTCTATAACGCTGTCATCATAAAAAATTGGTCTCCTACTTTTGCTCACTTTGCTTTGCATCAGTTCACAGAAGTCTTACCAGTTTCCTCTGAAACTATCCAATTTTTAAAAGTTTTAATAGAACAACAATCCATGTGCCATCATTTGGTTAGCTATTTCTCAATAAAAGAAAGAGCAGTCAGGTGGTGCAGTAGAATGAGTGTCAGCCCTAGAGTCAGGAAGGTTCATCTTCCCTATTTCCTATTTCCTAAGTGCCTATTCCCTTTCTAATTTTAACTATATTATATTTCATTGTATAAAACCTTTTATTTTATCATATGAAAATTGTCTCTTTTATTTTGTGTATTTCTTTCTACCACTTGTTTAGTCATGAACTCTTCTCCATCCATAGATCTGAAAGAAAATTGCTTTCTTGCTCCTCTAATTTGTTTATTATTTTGTCATCTTTTATATCACATATCAACTTGGAGTTTATCTTGGTATATGACATGTGAGGTATTGATCTAACCCTAATTTCTGCCAGACTAGTATCCTCTTAGCAAGTTTGTCACATAATGAGATCTTCTCCCACTAACTGGGGTCTTTAAGTTTATCAGACACTATGCTGCTACATTTATTTGCTTGTGTATGTTGTATACATAATCTGTTCCCTTGATGTCTGTCTGTCTGTCTCCCTGATATTACCAAATCATTTTAATGATTATTCCTTTGTAATACAGTTTGAGATCTGGCACTGATTCCCCTGGCTTTTTCATTACTAACCTTGAAATTCTTGACCTCTTGTTCTTCCATGTGAATTTCGTTATTTTTCTTTTGGTGGTTTGATTGGTAGAGCACTGCATAAGTAAATTAATTTAAGTAGTATTGTCATTTTTTTATATTAGTCTGACCTAGCCATGAGCAACTAATGTTACTCCAATTAATGGTATCTAGTTTTATTTCTGAAAGCAGCATTTTATAAATGGATTTACATAACTCCTGGGTGCATCATGGTAGATACACTCTCAAATACTTTACAGCTTCTACAACTTTCTTTTTTTTAATGAGATTTCTTTCTAGGTCTCCCTCTTTGGTTTTGTTGCATATGTTTGTGGGGCACTTGGTGCTATATCATTCATAGAAGATCTGCTTCTAGATTGGGGTTTCACGTGCAGCAGAGCTCTCTCACTTGAAACTACCGAAAGTCAGCCCTTGAATTTAGAGTAGGGAGGAGTCAGTTAGGTGGCACAGTGTATAGAATACAATGGATAGAGTGCTGGGTCTGGAGTCGGGAAGAACTGAGTTCAAATCTGGCTTCAGACACCTATTAGCTATGTGACCCTGGGCAAATTGCTTAATCCTATTTGCCTCAGTTTCTTTATCTATAAAATGAGTTGGAGAAGGAAATGGCAAATCACTTTCTTTGCCAAGAAAACCTCAAATGTTTTTGAGGCCATGTTGTCATGAACAACCTCAAAATATTAAGTATTGATTTAATTATTGATGGTGCCTTTAATCACAATGAAATCTCCCTGCTTATCTCTTTTTATCATATCTAATCTATTATAGCTTTATGTGAAATTGTGATTGCTGCCTCTGATTTGGGGGTTCATCCAAAATATACTAGATTTTGCTCTAGCTCTTAATTTTAATTCTATGTTAATATTTGTGTTTTAAGTGTATTTCTTGAAAACAACAGATGGTCAAATTTTGTCTTTGCATCCACTCTACTATCTTCTTCCATTTTATGAATGAGTTCATCCCACTCATATTCACAATGAGAATTGTCAAATAAAGATTATTTTCCATCCTGTCCTCTTGTATTTTTCTACTCTGTGCAGTCAAAACCCCCAACTTTAACAATAAGGTGGTAAAAGAGAGGGAATTTGTTTTACATGTCTGATATATAAGTAGCATAGCCTGTTTCCTCTATCATAGGCCTTCTCTTCTACTTGCCCTACCCTCTATCCCAATTTTTATTTGTTCTCCCTTTCCCTTTAATTCCTCCCTTCATATTTGTATCTCCAACATTTGAGTTTGTTTCACTTCTGACTACCCCCTTACTATACTGTCCTCCATCTTATATACCCTTCCTTTCCCCCTCTTGTCCCTATGCAGACAAACCAGAGTACATTTAAAAGGTACTAACTACAGAGAGAGAGAGAGAGAGAGAGAGAGAGAGAGAGAGAGAGAGAGAGATAGTACAACATACAACAGATAGAGTGCTGGGCCTAGATATGGGAAGATTTGAATTCAAATCTGGCCTCAGACACTTACTAGCTATATGACCCTGGGTGAGCCACTTAACTTCAATCTGCCTTAGTTTTCTCAACTATAAATGGAGATAATAAGAGCACCTATCAGCCAGGGTTGTTGTGAAGATCAAGTGAGATTATATTTATGAAGTATTTAGCATAGTACCTGGCACATAGTAGGTGCTTAATAATGTCTGTTTCTTTTCTTCCTCTTCTTCTTTCCTGTTTGGCTGCTCTTTGAGTGAGAGATAAAATACTGTAAGACTCTTTGTGGTCATTCTCCACCTGAGGTCAACAGATGGCCTGTGAATACAGACCTCTGTTACTTTGCTTCTTTGTCTTTATTATTTCCTGCTTTTAGGTAAACATGTATTGTAGACATCTATGAAATTGTGGACTTTGAAAGGTCAGAATGTCAAGCCACTAGAGGTCTAGAAATTGGAATTAATGCCATGTTTTGTGGTCAGCCCAAATGGTGCACAGAAAAGTCCCTGTTGAGCTACCTGATCTAGCATGGACTGAAGGCAGCCACGAGAGAGTTACAGCAATCTCACCATTCTGGGGTGTACTCCACCTCTACAATGTCTATCTTTCTCCCCCCGAGTAAAACTCCCCTTTAAGGTCCACTCAGTGAATGGCAAACCACTCAGTGGTTCCTGGAACCACCATATCATCAATAGTCCCCAGTCACGCTGCTTACTTCCCTTCTACCTCATTTTCTGATCTGCTGGTTTCCTCCACACCAGCTGCTTTGATCCTATGCATGTACTACCACCATCCCTACCCTTTCTACTTTATATGTTTTCTTATCCCATTAGCAGGTAAGCTCCTTGAGAGTAGAGACCATCTTTGCTTTCTTGTTTTTTATTGTGTTCCTAGTGCTTAGCACAGGGCCTGGCGCAAAGTAGGCACTTAATAATTGCTCATGCTATCCATCCATTTATCTATCTATCTATCTATCTATCTATCTATCTATCTATCTATCTATCAAATCGTTCCAATGGCTATGCAGAATTTAGAAGTGAGCTTGGTAGAATGAATGACATGCAAGAAATACTTTAAGTTTGAACTCCATCTCTTCAGAGACTAAGATGATATAGGAAAAAGTGTGCTCCCTGGTGTTGAGGATAAATGTCCATAATTCTGATCTTGCTATATGTTCAGGGTAATATCCATTTGTAAAAGCAAATGAATGTGTTTGTTGGTTAAGTATAATTGAAGCATCCATTACTGGCAGTTGAAAGTGAGCAAAATACATTGGAATGGGGGCCCATGTTGATAGCATTAGAGAATGACACCTCATAGTCTGTCAATAAATATTTTTAAGCACCCACTATGTGCCAGGCACTTTTCTAAGTATTGGGGATATAGAAGAAAGCAAACAACCATCCCCTACCCTCAACGAGTTCAAAATCTAAGAATGCCTGAAGGGTACCCCTAAAACTCTAAGAGGGAAATGTAGCTTCTTTGCTCTGAAAGAGTAAGACTAAGGCTGCCATTCTAACTTTCTCTCTCTCTCTCTCTCTCTCTCTCTCTCTCTCTCTCTGTCTCTCTCTTTCTCTGTCTCTCCGTCCGTCTGTCTGTCTCTCTCTCTCTCTCTCTCTCTTATAAAAGCCAGGCTGCAGTTTGGATGTTTACATGATCAGCAATAAGTCTATACATGCAAAGTGAATTTCAAAATACTCAATTCTAAATTTGCCCCCAAACATTTTATTAATAAAAGTTTTAATTAAAAAAATACAATGTAAAAGAGTTCTATTATGTACTGAATGAAATGTCCCAGATCTGTATGTTGCCATAGTCTATAAAATTCTGTACAAGGTCACTCATTTTAGTGAAGAGGGGTGGAAAGAGGATGTTATGAGGATAGAGAGGATTAGAAATTCTAGATTCTGTTATTAGTATGAAATTTTCCAGAGATACCTAAAAGCACCAAAAAAACTCATAATGTTCATTTTCAGATACAAAGAAGTTACATAATAAAATAAAATTTTAAAATTACAAAAGAAATCTGTACATCAGTGACATTTTTTTTTAAAAAAAGGCATGCTTTGGGTATTATGTAGGTAGGGAAATGGAATCCATTCAACAATCAGAAGTTTCCAGGTTTTGCCATCATCAGTTGCATGCCTGGCCCATTTCAGCTTGTATAACCATCTCTTCTTTTCTCAATGGGAAAGTGTCAATCAGGTTGAAAAGGGATATTGGTGTCACTATAGACATGTAGCGTTCTTTATCCATGCCGTGCTTATCCACCAATAATATGCTGAATGTGTTAAGAGGGATCCGCAGCAGCAACCTGAAACCAGACAAAACACAGAACTGGTCTGGAGGTCCAATTGCCGAGAACATTCCGGTGTAGTGTATATACATACATATATATGCATGTGTGTGTGTGTGTGTGTGTGTGTGTGTGTGAGGTCGGGCCTGGAGTCAGGGAGGCTCATCTTCCTGAGTTCAAATCTGGCTTCAGACACTTACTTGATGTGTGACCCTGGGCAACTCACTTAACCTTGTTTGCCTCCATTTCCTCATCTGTAACATGAGCTGGAGAAAGAAATGGCAAACCACTCCAATATCTTTGCAAGAAAACACCAAATGGGTCATGAACACTCATACATGTCTAAAAAACAACTGAAGAACAAGATACATGTATGGATTGGTTAGACAGATACATGAAGCAATTTCACCAAAAAGACTAGAAAAAGACCCTTTAGAAATGAGGATTTTTTTTTTCTGATTCCTTTCACAAACACTGTCTAATTTCTTTTGTTGTTGTTGTTGTTTGTCTTTCATTTCAAAAAGAACAAAGAACATCATGAAGGTGATAGTCCAGGATGCACTGGGTAACCATGGTTTTTCTAAATCAAAGTCTTAGGCCTGAGAAAGACCAAGACTGATTTCTCTTAAAATTGGTCAAGGAGAGATTAATCAATTTGTACTGTTCTAACACTCAGACTATCACAGGGTGAACTGAAAATAAAAGGGATTCACTGGTGTGAACAAGAAAGGGAATGAATTCTGGGCAATGGCAAAGAAAAGTGCATTTACCTGAGAAGAAAAAAAAAGGCGATTTTCTCTTACCTGAGCTGTAGGGTGAGTGCTGGGGGCATGATCCTCATTCCTATTCTTCCTATCAGGGTTGGATATGTGCCAACCAGTTCAATAACCGTGATGTGCCTTAGGTCTAGACCACACTGCGATTGCTGAAAAGGCCAACGTGAGAAAGAGGAATATTTTTAGGAAAAGAGGTTTTTAGTGTCAGGGGTTAAATGGACAAAGGAAAAGGGTGTCACTGGAAGAAAAGAACTTTGCCAAGTAGAGGCACCCAATCAATTATTACTTGTTAACTGGCCAGACCCTTAGGTGCTGGGAGTATAAAGACAAAAATCAAACAGTCCCTGCCCTCAAGGAGCTTACATCTTATCAGGAAAGAACAACATGTAGATATGGAGAAAGCACTCATCCCTAATACTTCCAGGGCATTAGGAGGGAGAGATCAGGGAAGCCTTCATAATGAATGTGGTGTTTGGGCTGAATCTTTAAAGGAAGCAAGGAACTCCAAGAGAGAAGGAAGAAGTGCATTCTGGGCATGGTAGGACAGCCAGTGCCAAGGTACAGAGTCAGGAGGAGTGTCTGTCCTGAGTAAGGAATAGCAAAAGGCCAGTTTGACTGGATCATAGAGTATCTGAAGGATAGTCATGAGAGTAACAAGACTGGAAACAGGCAGGGACCTGATTGTGAAGGGTGGTTTTAAATGACAAATACAGAAGTTTATGTTTGATCCTAGAAAGTAACCTAGACCTTATATAAACCTCTGCTTTATATAATCCCTAAATACTTTCCTATAATCCATGGTGAAAAGTACTATCCACCTCCAGAGAGAGATTGATGAACTCAGAGTACAGATCAAAGCATATACTTTTGTTTTACTTTCTTTATTTTTCTTGGGGTTTTTGTGCTTTCTTTTGCAACATGGCTAATATAGAAATACGTTTTGTATGACTTGACATGTATAATCTATATCACATTGCTTGACTTCTCAAGAGATAAAGGGAGGGTTAGGAAAGAGATTTGAGAACTCAAAATTTTTAAAAAATGAATGTTAAAAATTTACATGTAATTGAGAAATATTTAATGAAATAAAAAATATATGAAAATACTTTGCTATGAATCATAAAATCATAGATTTAGAGCAGCCAGGGACCTTCAGGTCATCTAATCCAACCCCCTTCATTTTCCATATTAGATATATCCGAGGCCCAAAGGGGTTAAGTGTGTCAAATAACACTGATAGTAACAAAGACAAAATATGAACCCATGTCTTCTGCCTCCAAAAGTAATGCTTTTTTCTCACTGGGATTCAATGAAAATTTGTCTTTTAGGGTTATTTTTAAACCTAAAAAAATGGTAGCCTTTGTGTCTACGTCTAGAATTGATGAAAACTCCATGGAGTCACCCTTCCTTAAATAAACAGAAAAAAAAAAAAACTAAGTTTGCCCTAGAGAACTCTAAATTTGACTTGCAAAGAAAGAAGGAAAAAATGTTTCCGAGTTGTTTTTTTTTAAAGTTTCAATCATATGTGTTGGTCCTGGGAAAAAGACTGAGCAACACAGGTCCAGACAGATTTTGCCAAGTGATCTGATGAGTACCTTCCCTGGCAATGGAAAAGAAAACGCACTGAAGCAGCAAAATTGGATTTTTGAAAAGGGAAATAAAAAAAATCCTTCAAATAAATACTATTTTATTTTCAGATCACAAATATTGCCACAGCCCCTCTTCTGGGCAAGAAGGTCCATGGTCTGCTTTTGAAATAGTCTCCGCTCACAGCGGGGCTGCCTGGGATTTCTGCATCAGTGGATTCCATTCAGTTAAGGCACTGAAGGACTCCAATTGGGAGCTCAGTCTGTAATAGGAGTGACACATTAAGCTGTTCACAGTAGAATTAATGCACGGTTAAGACATCTAGCAACATGAGACAGAGAAATGGTAAGCCTCACTAGGTGGGGTAATAGAGAAAGAAGAGATCAGATCCTGGGATGCTGACAGAGTTGCAAATCTCTTTGGGATACAACACTCCCAGGAGGTGGGAGGGAGGGGAGGTGTGTTGGCAGGAATGATGAAATGTGACAAAGGATGGAAGGGTACTGGGGACCAAACATCCTCTATCACACTTCTGCCTGGGGCTAGACCTGGTTAGTATGAGGCTTTACAGAGGGTCCCAGAACTAAATGGAGTGAGGGGAGGGGATCTCTGAGTAGGTATGTCATGTTCAGGAAAAATTCATGTCACAAAATTCCACCTTTGGAAAGGAGGAGGTTCTGTGGCCATCTCAACAAAAAAATCAAATGAAATCGTCATCTTCTTTCCTAGAAGACTAAATGAGGACAAAGTCACTACTTTCAAAGGCATTCTGCCTTGGATGGTTAAACAGAATAAGTCTAATCCTTCCCTGGAACAACCCTTTAGACACTTATATAGCCAGACCAGTAGAATTAAGGCATTAGGCTGAAGCTTAAGGACTGGAAAAAACTAACTCTAGCTAATGACCATTCTACTAAAATAAATAAATGAAAGAAACACTGAGTATTTTGCTACTACTGAGAACTGGTATTTAATGAATGACTATGAATGTACACATTTAAGCTAACATAACAATACTATTTTATAGAGCAAAAGCAATTAAAAATCTAAGCATAAGCTGTCTGCTACTTATTTGATTAAACACAACCAACATTTACAAAGTAACTACTCAGTCAGGGCATTGAGCTATACGTTGGGGAAATACAAAGATAATCGTGACATTGCCCTTATGGTCATGGAGCTTAAGAACATTAGAAATGGGATAATAATAGCTTGCATTTATACAGTCCTTTAAGATTTGCAAAGTGCTATACATATGTTATCTCATTTGATCCTCACAACAACCCTAGAGGTAAGTATTATTATTATCCTCATTGTAGAGGTGGGGAAACTGAGGCTGAGAGGTTAAGTACCTCACCCAGGGTTATACAGATAGTATTTGAAACAGGATTTAAACTCAGGTCTTCCTGACTCTAGTACCAAAACTCTATCCACTCTACCACCTTGTTGCCTAAGGGAAGGAAAATTAGGGATCATTTAGTCCAATACACCTATTTTTTAATGAGGAAACTGAAGACCCAAGGGTTAAAGTGACCTACCCAAGGTCATATAGCCAGTTAGTAGCAGAACCAATACTCCTGGCCCCTAGTCAGTGCTCAACCCATCACCCCATGCTGCCCCTCTCTAGGGTTATATGACACGAACACCAACATCAGGCTGGGTGTCAAAGAAAATCAAGCTATCAAGGCAACATCAGGTCAATCCTACTGGTCTCAGCCACAGGATCCCCTTCTGAGCCTCCTGCTTTTCACTTCTCCAATGAATCTGGCTCCTAGGAAAGAGCCAAAATGAATTCTAAAGGTGAGAAGCAGTTCTTCGAGATGTGTGTTTGAATTCTGAATCAAGGGTGAAGGAAAAAAATGTCATTCCAAATTATACCAACACTGAGAGGAAAGAATTATTATGTCTTTTGAAAGACTGCTAACGATTACACCTAGAGACACATTAGGATGCTCTACCAGTTGGTCTGAATCAGAACAATACACATTGCTTATAGCCCTTTGTCATATAACAAAGGCAAATTCTGGCTTCTACCTTTAGTCATATTGGCTATCCTCACCATACATCAACAGCTCCAAGTAAGTGCTACAGGTCCTTATGTTTTCAAAACATTCAGGATGTGGTATCTCCTAGAATCTAACAAAGTCAAAGTCCCCATATTTTATAGGGGTGCGTGATTCATCAAAGAAAAGGCATATATGTATTCTGCTTTGTATTCTATTTATGCCTATGTCAACACTTTCCCTAAGCTGTTAATTCCTTGTAGGCAGGGAATATATCATATTTATCTTTTTATCTATTCTAGTTGCCACTAAAATCCTGTTGTGATGCCTCATTGTGGCATGAAGTTAACATTCGAGGCTTCCCAAAGCTAAGCCAGCAGAACACAAGATATAAAAGTTTTAGGGATGGGCCAGTGATGGAATGTGTGGTTATTATCTGAAAATCAGTTCAACTAAATTCAGAAAAGTTCATCACCAGATTGGTCGCAAGATGAGCACTTTTTTCTTTGGTCACAACAACACTTGTAGTAGAAACATTTTGACCTTTGTCGGTACAAAATATACCCACTCTCGAGAAATCACAGATTTTTAAGTTCTGAAGTAGATTTTTCATCCCCTAGCACAGTTATTTGCTAGGAGGCACTTAACAAATGGAGAAATTAAAGGAAAGAAGGAGGGAGGGAGGGAAGGAAGGGGCAAGTCTGTGAACTGGCTTTATTCTTTGACACTCGTTTTACCTTAATTCACTCTAATTCAACAAATATGCATTAAATACCCAGGGAGATACTGTGCCAAGAAATGGATGAGAGAAAAAGTTTTGAGAAGACAGTCACTACTCACATGATGCTTACTGTCTAGTAGGAGAAACAACACAAGCACAGAGAATGATAATACAAAATATATTTCAAATCCCACAAGTATTTATTAGGCATCTACTATGTGCCAGACACTGGGCTAAAGGACTGAGGATAAGATGACAAGAACAAACAGTCCTGCCCTCAAGGTACTTGCATTCAATGGAGGGGGATGGGGAGAGGGTTTGTATATAACAACTGCAAAGGAGAATTTTGATTCTGAAGAACAAAATGCTCTGTAATGCTGGAGGAGAAATAGGTCATTTTTGACTTGTTTTAGGGGAAGGCGTGGAGGGGGACTTCAGGAAAAGCTTTCCCCTGTCCACCTCTCTCCTTTCCTGAAGCATCATGGTTCTTACCTGAAGCATTGAAAGTTGTGCCCTGTAGAGCAAGTTACGTGCAGTTGGGGTAGACACAATAAGGAGCCTTCTTTTCTCATAAAACTGATCCAGGAGGGCAGCGGCACTCCTGACGCCCACATTGATCTTCATAGCTGCAGTGGGAAAGGTTGGTCAGTGCCTGGGGCAGAGTACTCCATAATTCCAGGAAATCAATCAATCGATATATATTAAGATACAGATAGATAGATAGATAGATAGATAGATAGATAGATAGATAGATAGATAGATAGATAGATAGATAGATATGTCAGCACCACACTAATATTAGGGATAAAAACATGAAATTTGCCCTGTACTGTAGGAGCTTATCATGGATTGATGGCCTAAAGCCAGTATGAAAGGGTAAGTCACTGGTGGGGGGGAGGGGTTAGTTGAGGATGAAAAGAGCCGAAAATGGAGGGGAAAGTTCAGATCGACATGGAATATCATTCAGAAGGCTTCCTTTGTGTTAGAATTGAAGTGAGCCATCTATTGCACAATGAGGAAACTGAGATCCAGATTGGTTAAGTCTACTTGCCCAAGGATTCAAAGACTGTGACAGAGGCAGGATTAAAACCCATGTCCCCTGACTCCAAATCCTTTCCTGCATCAAAATGCCTCTGGATAAAAAGATACTTAGAGAATAGAGATAAACAGAATGAGAACTGACCTTTATACGTTTTAAGAATAACAAAATGCTTTCCTTGGACAAGTCACTCTCCCCTATCCTTTCATATTTCAAGTTCAGCACACTGTTGCACAGGTGGATTAAAAAAAAACTGTTTGTTATTGTTGATGATGATGATGATGCTAAATAAAAGTATTAGGATACAAACTCATCTTGTATAGGCTTACTGAATACATTCTCTGCACAACTCCAGCAGCAGACAAGATGATGGGAAGGATATGTGCCACTTTCTGTTCCTATATGACTTATTTCTTCTGCCAGGGGTCTATATTTTGAAAGATTTTTGTTCTACCTAGCTTGGAGATAATAAATATTTGGTATAATTATATTCATTTAAAATGTTAAAATGTTGTTCTGAAGTTTTTATGGGTCAATCTTATTTCTAGATTACTGGGGGTTATAGTTTGGCTAATAATAATGCTCCAGTTTCACGCATTTTAATGAAGTTCACAGGGATATTTTTATTTCTGTATTTGCATTACGGGGATCTGTCAGTCCACAAAAGAGTTTCCAATGTATAATTCTAGACACCAGGTTATATGTTAATAAGTATTCAGGAGGCACTAAATTTTTGCTGCCTGTGGAGACGTGCTGTACAATTTCTACCATTTCCTTGCCTAACTTGCAATGATCACCAAGTCTGAGCTCCTTAAAGATAATCCTCCTGAAATTTCTGATTGCGATAACTTGGTCCTGAATCACTATCATAAATGCCTCTGCTTCCACAAACAAGTCTGAATGATTCAGTCGTTTATTCAACACTTTCTTTAATCAGAATATTGTTGGTTGAAGTCATGTGGATGACTACCTGCTAACTCTTGTTCTAGGGCTGATACTATGGTGTTACTCATAATTCAGGCATGAAGTGATGTCTTACCCAGTTACTGCTCAAAATTCTAGATTTAAGGGAATAAAAGCACCTGATCACTGTTTTTATAAGCTAAGTCTATTCAATCAAAGCTCGAACCTACTAAATTAATGTAAAATGTAAAGATTTCCCCAAGTAAACTAGGGAGAAGCTTAACATCATACTTAATAGACAGAATCCATTCTTCCAAAGATATGACTATAACCAGTATTATAACAGGTTCAAATATGATAACTGGGAAAATATACATGACAGATAGCTAAATGTCTTTCACTTTTAAACAAGTGTATTAACACTTACTCTACATTTGTACAAAATAAAGGCCTCCCAGGTGACCAAAAGAGGAACATGCATCCTTTCACAAATAGCAAGTTATGGGGCAGCTAGGTGGCACAGTGGATAGAGCACCAGCCCTGGAGTCAAGAGGACCTGAGTTCAAATCCGACCTCAGAAACATAACACTCACCATCTGTGTGACTCTGGGCAAGTCACTTAACCCCAATTTCCTGACCAAAAAACAAACAAACAAAAACCCAAATAGCAAGTTATCTAGAGAACAAAAGAGCATTCAGGATGAGTGTGTGTGTGTGTGTGTGTGTGTCTGTGTGTGTATGTGTGTGTGTGAGATGTGTGTTAAACCAAGAGAGAGAAAGAGGCAGAGAGACAGACAGAAAGAAAGAAGCCAACGTAGAGACGGAGTCTGCCAGGATCCTAGCGCGGGAACCTCATCACCTCCAACCTGAACTATTGCAATAGCCTGCTGGTTGGTCCTTCCCTGCTCCAGTCCATTCTCCACTCACCTGTCAAAATCATCTTCCTAAAGCACAGGTCTAAGCATATCACAGGCCCACCCCTTTTCTTCCTTCCACCAATCAATTCCTCTATTTGGTGTCCAAAGCCCTTCATAACCTGACTTCCCCTTCATCTTTCCAGTCTTTTTACACTTTCAGCCCCTTCACTTACTCTGTAATCCAGTGACATCAGCTTCCTCGTTGTTGCTCAAACAAGGCTCTCCCAACTTCTAGCATTTCCTCTAGCTGCCCTCCACTCCTGGAATACTCTCTCTTATCACCTCTACTTCCTGGATTCTCTTGCTTTGAAGGAATAAATAAAATCCCACCTCTTACAGGAAGCCTTTCCCTACTCCTCTTAATTCTAGCGCCTTCCCTTTGCTGATTATTTCCAAATTATCTTGTATACAGCTCATGTATACATAGTTGGTCATGTTGACCTCCATTAGACTACGAGCTCCTTGAGGGCAGGGACTGTTTGTGCCTCTCTTTGTATCCCCAGCACTTAGCATAATGCCTGGCATATAGAAGGTGCTTAATATTTATTAACTGACTGACTGACTCATCAGCAATCTAACTGGAAACTGAAATGTTGTGGGTCAACTTGTATCTAACACACAGGAAGTAAATCTTCTATTGGCGATCATAAGATCATAGGATCATTGATTTAGAGCCACAAGGGACCTTAGAGGTGATAGAGTTCAACCCTTATTTCACAGAGGAAGAAACTAAGGACCAGAGAAGCAAAATGGCCTCATGGTCTTCCTATCCTAAGAATTAGGCATCAGCTCCTATTCATGACAGGATGCTGAGATATTGAAAAAAAAGGCAACTTTCTAACTCACCTTCTCTAATATCTTCCACTAACTTTCTATGTGACTTAGGACTAATTATGTCCTTTTATCTGTGCTCCATCATCAATGAAAAAGGAAGTTGAACTCAATGATTACTAAAGTCTTTGGAGCTCAAATGTTCTCTGTAAATAAAGTACAGAGAAATAAAGTGGGGTTCTTAGAGTTTCCAGTTGTCTTATGCACAAATTTATTTTATAGGACCTTACAAGGAAAGAGGAGAAAAAAGTGTCACAAATATGGAAATCAACAATGCCTAATAGTATAGGAGAGAAGGAAAGAGAAATTGGGTGTGGGGGAGGGGAGAGGCAGGAAAGGAGAGGAAGAAGGAAGGAAGGAAGGAAGGAAGGAAAGAAAGAAAGAAGCAAGCAAGGAAGGAAAAAAGGAAAGAAGAAAGGAAAGAAAAAAGCATTTATTAAGCATCTACTACGTGCCAGGCACTACGCTAAACACTTTACAAATATTATCTCATTTGATCCCTGTAATAACCCTGTGAGGTAGGTACTATTATTATCCCCATTTTACAGTTGAGGAAAATGAGGCAGACAGAGGTTAAATGACTCACTCATAGTCATATATCTAGTAAATTCCTGAGGCCAAATCTGAATTTACATCTTCCCGACTCCAGGCCCAGAACAGGAGAGGGGAGACAAGTGCTCAAAGGCTTCTTCTGTCACCTTCCATGATAATAATACCTTATCATTATTTGTGCTTCAAGGTTTACAAAGGCTTTCATCCATTATCTTATCTGAGCCATAGTATAGATACTATCAACCCAATTTTGAAGATGAGGAAACTGAAGGCATGCCCCCCTCACCAAAGTAATGATTTACCCAACATTCCTCAGTAAATATTTAGCAGAGTCAGGATCAGAAGTCTGGTCTCCTATTTTCTAACCCACGACTCTTTTACTCCACCACCCAGTAGAAAGGGGACACTGGGAACAACGAAGATGAACATTTCCCTGCTTCAAAATTTTGTGAAGTGTTAATTTCATTTTGGGGGCACAGAGAAAGTAGAAAGAAATTAGTGTTAAGAGGAAGGAACAAAACTGGAGGAAGAGCCCCACAATGATGAAGGTTGGGATAGTTTTCAGCTACTCAAATTAAGTAGAATGACATTCAAAGCCTCCAAAACAGAAAAAGTCCCATTACACTTCCCTGTATTCCATCCCTTTAATTCTGAACATAGGACGTCACCAGGCTCTCCAACATCAGTTCAGGAACAAGCTCCTCACTTACCTTTGCAAGTTGGATCTGTGCCTGACCAGGCCAAGTTGGACTGACACACTCTGGCTGGGCTACCTTGTAGCTCATAGCCTCCAATGCAGGAAAACTCACAGGTCGCTCCATAATTATTGCCATCACTGGAGCATTTGATGTAGCCATTCTCTGGAGCATGAAGTTTATTGCAACGCTGGACTGTAAAGAGAGCACATTCAGAAAACAAAGCCTTCTTCAAAACAATAGCCAGAGCCAAAAGTAGGAATTCTGGTACCTGTGGCACCAGAGGTGTGGCAACCTCCAAGAAAAGGAAAGGTAATAGTGTGAGAAAATCCAATGTCCTATGGCCAGCAAACTTTCTTCCCTCTGTAATTGCTTGAGTTGAGAGTCACAGGCTACCTCAGTGTAAACTCCTTTCCTGTGCTCCCCAATCCTTCATCTTTAACCTCTTTAACCCAATGGCTCAGGAGTTCCTCTTTCCCTTTTTTTCCATTGTAACTCCATTCTATTGTTCACAAACTTTCCATCATCTTAGACCTCCTTGCTGCCATTTTCTTTACTCATGGAAACCTGACTCCCCTTAGAAAACACGCAGCCTTGACTATCTCTCCTAGGATGGATGCACTTTCTCTCATTTCTCCCAAAACACTGGTCCAGGAAGAGGAGGAGGTGGCTTACTCCTTGCTCCTTAATACCATCTCTAGAACATCCCTCATATTGCTCTATTCTCTCATATTCTCCCAGGAATCTCTCCTCCTTTGAGGTTCACTTCATTTGTCTTAGTATTAGCTCTATCCATATCCTGGTAGCTTTTATCTACAAGTGCCCAGGTCTTTCTCCCTCTTTCCTCCTGTGTTTTCTATCTGGCTCACCGCATTTCTCTCTCTCCAAACCCCTGCCCTCATATCTGCATGCTTCATAAACATGTAAATGTACCCTTTAATGCAGGGCATTCAAGGGTAGATTTATGTCCATTAATGTGGTTTTAAGCTTTGATAGCCTTTTGGGGATTTTTTTTACTCTAGATTCTCCTGATATGCCTGACCACTTCTCCATGGCTCAATTGGCCCTGAGCTTATCCTTCTCCAAGGGCACTACAACTGAGCCTACCACTTATCCCTAAACTGTCTGGGTGCCGCCCTGTTCCTGCCCAGACTGAATGTGGTAAAAAGAAATCTTTCCATTTCCCCTGGGAAGTCTAGCATTGAATCTCTATAATGCTCTTCCCATCCCTAGATGACCTCTCCCCCATCCCTTAACTTTCAGCTACAAGAAGACTCTCTTCCATGGGTGGAGGTGAATAAAAGCCTGAGGCCCCTAAGGGAAAGCAGGCCTAGGTCTCAATGAGGCACCCCTGGGGGGGGGGGGACCCTGGCAACCTAAGGGAAAGGGAGAACCAAAAAAAGCAGAGACAGGCAACAAAGGATGATGGGGGAGGAGAGAACATGGAGAATAGAAACTGTCAGCCTCATAATTTTTTTAGGTCTAACCCTTCTAACAGGAGCTGATAATGATGACAGCAATTGACATTTACATGACAGAGGTGGGGCAAAGGCACTGAATTTAAGAATCCTGGTTTTACTTTCTACTACCTTCCCTTGGACAAGTCAGATCATTTCTTTGGGCCACAGCCTTTCTGTCAAATGAGTGGATAGGACTAGTTATCGCTGCTAACTTGCTCCAGATTCTACAGAATATAAGATTGTATGGCCAAAGCCTGCTCTATCTTATTTCATCTGCACAGCCTTATTGCAAGGTAGGTGCCACAAATCTTTTTATTTCCATTTCACAGAGTAAGGAAATCATTTCAGAGAGGTTAAGTGATTTGCACAAAGTCACACAGCTTATAAAGAATGGACTTGGATCTTGTGTATTGCAAATTGTACGATCATCCCACTGCACAATACTGCCTCACCCTGGGTATGGGGACAGAGTAAACATTCAGGGCTGTAGCTTTGGGGTCTGGTCCTTCCAGACTCTCTATACTTACTGGTTGAGCTCCCTTCATGAATGCAAGGTTGCCCATAGCATTGCCCTGGCAATAGTCTTTGATTGGCAACACTTAGTAAGGAAAGGTTAACGGATGTCCCCTCAGAAACATCCCTAGTCAATTCAGTCTCTGTGGACACAGTCAGCCTTCCTTTGCTTCCTTCACTATTTCGTGTCTACTGCTTGCTGATCGTGGCTGACTGACGCTTCTGGCTTGGCTCATCCCTTAACCTTAACTCATTTTCCTATATGAAAACAGAAGAGTCTTTTTGCTGGCCTCTCCAAAGAAATAGTAAATGCTAGCATGTGTTCCACATAATAGGGGCTCTCATTTATATAGTGCCTCATCATTTACCCAGCAGCTTCCTCACCCAGACAAATAAAGGGATTAGCCCAAAATAACATAGCTTATAAATGGCAGAGCTAAAGTTCCTGATGTTTCCAATGCAAAGTCCAGTCCTGCTTTCTACTAATACCAAACTAGCATTATATAGTTTTAAAATTTGCAAAGCATTTTACAATTATTCTCATTTGATAATCACAATAACTCTGAGAAGTAGGTGCTATTATTATCCACTCTTCTACAGGTTAGGAAACTGAGGCAAAAAGAGGATATGTGACTTATCCAAAGTTACATAGCTATTAATTTTTTTCATTATTAAATTTTATTTTTAATTTATGGAATAAAATAAGCATTTCCATAACACTGTACAATAAAAATGAAGATTGAACATGAAACTGCAATTACACAGCTATTAATTGTCTGAAGTGGGATTTGAACTCATATCTTCCTGATTCCAAGTCCAGTGTTCTAGCCACTGTGCCACTTAGCTGCCTAGATATTACTGTCTGGTACTTCTTGAAGCCCAGCATTTATGCACCAAGACCCCAGCTGCCTGACCTGCCCTAGCTCCTGGGCTTCTGCATTGAATCAAAGTGAGATAACCACAAAGACAACTCTGCCCCCTACACCAGAGAGGCTGAATAGTTCTTGGGGACAGAGACGAAAAGAGGAAGAAACAAAAAGTATCAGCTGTCATTCTTACCTCTGACTTTAACATGGAATTTACAAGTTCCCTTGTTTTCAGCTCTGTCATAGACAGTGTACTGGATCTTATGGTATCCTTCTGGGAAATCTGACCCTGGAGGCAGGCCTTTCAAAATAACACTGAAAGATAGAGGAGGAGACATCCCAATGGGATTATTTTCAAACATTTATGGGATACCTACTGTTTTCAGTTCACTATGCTTAGGGGTTGGAGAAGCTGAAGCTGCATCCTTGTTCTCTGTGGGCTTACAACCAACTTGGGAAGGGAGACTGGGTACAGAAAATCACAGCCACCAATACAGGTCAATACATACAAAATGCCAAATGAGAGAGGAACAGTCAGTAAAGAAGTGGGATAGGAGCTGAGAGATTACTTTGGATTGAAATTGTCATGGGAGTTTTCACAGAGGTGGTAGGACCTAAAAGATCAAATTGAAATAACTGAAGGAAATAACAGAAGACATCCTTCAGAAGTTCCCAACTTATTTGGCCTACCATCCCCTTTAAAAAAATTACTCAGCACCCCCCCGCCCTGGAAATCCACTTTCTCTAACCCTTTAACAGTTATTTTGAATTTGTGTTATTTCAAAAAAATGTTTTTTGAAGTGACACATCTAAAATTTAATAACTTATTGTAAATTTGTGGTGTTTTTCTTGCACTGAAATTTTGATGACTCAATATTGCATCATGTAACTGCATATTGTAAACGAGTCATTACACACACACACACACACACACACACACACACACACACACACATACACATTCCTGCCAATGCATGCTGGACTTCCTGACAATGTGCCACATGTTCTCCTGCCAGCACTTGCTTGTTAAGCCCTGTCAGTGGACTTGACCACTGATGGGTTATAACTTGCATTTTGTGTATTTGTTTGGAAAATACGTAATCGTTATGACTTTAACTCTGTTACACAACAGATGAAATATGTATAAACAATTTTTCAAGTTTTTCATATCTTCTCTTCTTTCCTTATGCTTCTACAGCCCCCTTATTTTTATTCAATGCCCCCCAATTGCACCTGAGGTTTCTACTGCCCACCCCATCATTTCAGCAGCCCCCAGGGGACGATATTGCTTGCTTTGGGAACCTATGTGACCTTGATAGTAACATCAGGAGCAAAAATACGAACATAGGATTGTGGATTTTGTATTTAGAGGATGGAAATAAATTTGGCTGGAGCAGAAGTTTTCCTATAGGAAGAGAAGGCAGAAATAACTGCGAAAAGGTAAGGTAGGGCCAGAACGCAGATGGTCTTGAATGCTGGTTTCATTTACATTGTTACAGAATCAAGTCCAGAAAAGCCTTGTAGGATAGGATTTTATTTTCAGCTTTTATAAGGAAAGTATTTTTCTCTGACTACCTGAATATATTATCAATAATTGTGTTTCATCAAGGGAAGATGGAGATAAAACAGGAAGGATGGAGAAAAGGATAATTCTGGAGCACTGGAGCATAGACTACTTTCTGGAGGGCAAACCTGGAGGTTGGGGGGACTCTGTAGAAGGGGGCTCTAGGCAGCCAGAGGTAGGCATGAGAGTATCTGGTGCTTCATGAAGCACAGGACAGAGAGAACCAGGAGTTAGGAGGGAGGCATTGAAAGAAAGTTGGAAAGGTAACAAAGACAAATGCCTCTTACATCAAAATTTTATATGAGGCTAGCCCTCTATGACAAAACCTTCTGAGCCATAATTTTCATTATCTTTCCAAACACACAGAGGAACTAACTTTCTTGGGTTTTCTGTCACTGGCACTATGTGGCAAGACACCACTGAAAGATTCAAAACAGTCTGAGAACGTTAATTCTACTTTGCATGTTACAATAGCCAGGGAGGTCTGAAAAGTTATTATAATGTTTAAATCTGCCTAACTTACAACTAAAAATGTGTGTTAAACATGCAGTGAATTTAGCTCAATGTTTCACACATGAAAATCAAAGGTGGAAAAAATATCACACTGTATAAGAATCCTTGGAAAGCATTACTGAAGAATTCCACCTATCAGCTTTGAGAGTCTTGCTTCAGAACATTCTAAGTGGCTATCAAAGGTGCCCAAGTACCTCTCTAAGTCTAAATCTAAGTAAAAAGAGTTAAAAACAATTCCCTCCCCTGTGCATAGGAAGCTCTGCAGCCAAGGGGATGGAATGTGTGCTTGAAGGATAACTTGGCCCTGACCCCCAATATGCTCTGTGTCCTGTATCTCTAGGTTCAAGCTTTTCATGGGACCCTGTTTTTTACCCAGAGCTATGACGAGGTTGATAAGATAGAGCTTCAAAGCTGGAAAAGCAGGAAAGGCTTTAAGGAAACGTTGTTAGATAACCTCTGTAAGATAACTGTAAGATAACCTTTGGTTAGAACTAAAAATTTGGCACAATCTACCCTGAAGCACATTCCCCATTAGCCAACACACACACTCATCACTCTTCTCCAGGATAAACTCATCACTGCAAGGACTTTCCTTTCTTCCTTCCTTCATTCCTTTGTTCCTTCGTTCCTTCCTTCATTCCTTCCCTCCTTCCTTTCTTCCTTCCTTCCTTCCCTCCTTCCCTCCTTTTTTCCCTCTTTCCTTGCTCCTTACTCTCTCTCTCTCTCTCTCTCTCTCTCTCTCTCTCTCTCTCTCTTTCTCTCTTTTCTTTCCTATGCCTCCTAAGCAGGTACCTTCCTCTCCAACTCACTCTTAGGTGCTGTCTTCCCCATTAGAATATAAGCTCCTTGAAGGCAGGGAGCATCTCTGTTTGTATTTGCATTCCCTGTGCTTTGCATTGCACTGGGCACATAGTGCTTATTGACTGATAGCCTACACAGCTGAGTTAACCAGTTGAGCAAAGGGTAGTTTGTTTTGTTGGCTTTTATTTATTTATTTTCATTTTCCATGAACAGTTGATTCCCCTGCTCCCCACAGACATGAGACACATGAGAATATGAACTAAGAGGGAGGCAGCTAGGTGGCACAGTGGATTAAGTGCTGGGCTTGGAATCAGGATGTTCTAAGTTCAAATCTGTACTCAGCCACTTACTAGCTGAGTGCCTCTGGGCAAGTTACTTAACATCTCCTAGACTCTGTTTCCTTATCTGTAAAATGGGGATAATAATGCCACCTCCCTCCCCCTCAGAGTTGTTATAACAATCAAGTGAGATAATAACTATGAAGTGCTTTGCAAACCTTAAAGCACTATAAATGCTAGGTGTTATTACATTTGCAAAGAGCTTTTCAAAAACTGCTACATAAATATTAGCTATTATAAACTGTTGATGAGTCTCCCTAAACTAACCTAGGCTGGTCTCTGCATAACATTCAGTCTGTTGCTAGGCCAAGAGGGTATAATTAAAAAAACCTCTGGGAGGAGCAATACCTTAATTGTCAATAGTTCCCAATATCACAACTAATTTGAATACAGATCTGTAGAAATGGTACTCCAGATTAGCAGCCATGTAGATAATCAGAAGTCCCGTTGAAAAGGGCAGCTAGTTGGCACAGTGGATAGAGCTCTGGGGCCTGGAGTCAGGAAGATTCTGAGATCAAATCCAGCCTCAGACATGTACTAGCTGTGTGATCCAGGGCAAGTCACTTAACCCCGTTTGCCTCAGTTTTCTTATCTGTAAAATGAGCTGGAGAAGGAAATGACAAACCACACCAGTATCTCTGACAAGAAAACCCCAAACGGGGTCACAAAGTGTCAGATGTGACTGAAATGACTGAACAACAGCAAGGATCTCAAAGTCCAATCTCCCTTTATCTCCCCATTTAGCTGAAGGCGGTAACGCTCTAGTTCCTCTTATTTCCACCTTGCTTACAGCATCTTTTCTGAGTTCTGTGTTATAGAATATAGAAATTGCAAAAGCTATTGCAGTAGAAGAGGAGGAGGTCATTAAAATGCCCTTTAAAAATGTCACTGTTATAACCAGGGCATCCAGATCACCAATGAAAATGCCAAGGCAGATGCAGCTGCTGAGCCTTTAAGAAAATACAACCCTCTAGTGACCCAGCCAAGTCTGGCTCAGTGTTAAATGCCGTTCTTACAGGACTTCATTTCATTTTTCAGGTGCGACCCATTCTTAAACCCACTGGCTTCGTTTCCTTCCTTTAAGAATTTGAGGTAGGCAGGTGGCCAGTGGTGAAGAAATAAGAAACTAAAGGACGAAAGGCAAAACTTTGTCTTCTTTGAAGATCACCAGGGAGGCAAGAGAAAAATTGTGAAGTCAGGGACTATGGGTCAATCCATTACAACTGATGCGACTGAGACAGCCCCAGGCTCCTGGATGCATTTGTGCTAAAGTGTAACTAATGTGGAGATAGAGCATTGGCCCCCCTCCCCAGTCACTGACTAGCTATGGCACAGTTAGAGTTAAGTTTCCTGGGTCCCTTACCTTCATTCTTCTTTCCCTATTAGGAAACACAAAAAATACCCTGATTTCAAAGGTCTGAAGTCTAAACCATTGTCTTGGTGTCAAATACCAAGTTGTCAGAGGCATAGAAACTATAATACTGCTGCCTGAACCAGATTAAAATGCAGTTGGGAAATATTTAACAAAATAAATAAAAACACAGTAAGACATAGACACTATTAATATACAGCTTTCTAAGTCAATATGCAGCCCACAGGGATCCTTGTTGTTGTCTTTCAGCTGTCTGACTCTTCATGACCTCAGTTGGGGTTTTCTTGGCAACAATACCAGAGTAGTTTGCCATTTCCTTCTTCAGGTCATCTTGCAGATGAGGAAACTGAAGCAAAACGGGTGTCTGAGGCCAGATTTGAACTCAGGAAGAGGAGTCTTCTTGACTCTAGGCTCAGTGCTCTATCCACTGGGCCACAAGCTGTCCCACAGGGAACTTTATGTATGGTTAAATGGCCCCATTTCTATTTGTGTTTGACACCACTGATGTAGACTACCTCATCACTTTTCAATCTCTTATTACTGCCATATTGACTCTGTCCAAAACTCTATTTAAGTTTGAGCCCTGAGCAGCTTGAGGCCTTGGAATGGAATGCTCAGTTTGATGCAAGTCTGAACTGCTAGCCTGCCTTTGGAGCTGGGGAGAGTGAAGAGAGAAGCGAACCCCTTTGTTGTTCCCATTGGCATCTACCCTCCTCCCATAGCTACTACTCCTGTGTGGCAGTATTGCTTTTTAGGAATAGTTCCCTTCCTTTTCCCATTAAACTAGGGGTCATCAAACTCCAGGTTAAGAGCCAAATCTAGCCAGTTGACTGGTTTTGTTCAGCCTACAAGCTGGAGTGCACAATATAAGTTGATTTTCTATCTTAATACATAAACCCAAAGGTATGCCTGATTCTCTCATCCAACCACAAAACGTTCCTGGTGTAGTGTCATCTGTCTTGATTCTATGATCATTCTTCCAAAATTGACTAAGGACTTATTCATACTTGGTTTATACCTTTTGATTGCTTGACTGATTCAATCCAGTTAGCTGGACTTTCTTCAATTACATTAATTGGGATAATACATGATTACATTATTATAAACCTTGCATTATTTATTATCTTCGCTTTACAGATAGAGATAGACTTCTGCAGAGTTACATAACTAGTAAGTGTCTGAGGCAAGACTAGAACTCAAGTCTTCCTGATTCCATATGTAGTGTTCCATCCACCATATGACAATGTAAGTCACTTGGCATCATTCTGCGTCACAACTATGGTCTAAAGGGGACAACATAATACAGTACGAGCCTAGAACCTGTCTCTGACACTTACAGGTTATGTGGCCATGATCTACTTCACAAGGCTGTCCAATTCCTTCAATTCCTTCATGGGCTAGTACAGCAGTGGTGGGATCTTCTTACTCTCTCAAATGGAATCATCTAAGTAAAATGCATTGTATACTTTAAAGGGCCCTATAAACATTAGTGATAATTTTGCTGTTATTGACAAGTACAAACCTATCACCAATCACAAATAGAACACTTCAAACTGGGCACCTGCCCTACTGAAGAGGACTCAGCAGCAATACCACTGGATACATGGAATAACGTGATTATTAAAACTAAAATGACCATTCACTTACTCAGTCAGAATGCCGTCGGCAGTGTCCCTTCCCTCCGGAGTCTCCCAGAATACCCGGACAGTCAGTTTATTGGGCTCTGCTATCCGCTCCTTCATGCTAGGGCACTGAATTCTAGGAGGCTCCACATCTGCTCAAGCAATCAAAAAATTCTCCTGTCATCATTAAGGGATAAGGTTTTCAACATTCATGGCCAGAGGGGTGGGAAAAAAATGACCCAGATAGCCCTGCCCACTCAGCAACTGTCAACACTATTGCTTTTAATCTTGAGTGTCTTTAAACTCTTCCCTCATTCCTGCCACTGGGCTAGCTTTTCCTTCTCAATTCAGTTTTCTTTTTCTTTCCTGCCTTTAGGTTTTTTTTAATTTATTTTTAACATTAGTTTTTTAAAATTTTGAGGTCCAATTTCTCTCCTTCCTTCACATCCCTCCCCCACCTCTTGAGAAGGCAAGCAATATATCAATTACAGATGTAAAGTTGTGCAAAATATATTTCCATATTAGCAATGTTGCAAAAAAAAGCAAGAAAAATAATGAAAATGCTCCGATTTGCACTCAGAGTTCTTCAGTTTTCTCTCTAGGGGTGGACGGTATTTTTCATTACGAATCCTTTTGAATTGTCTAGTATCATTGTCTTGATCAAAGTAGCTAAGTCTTTGACAGTTCAACATCATTACAATATTGCTGTTACTGTGTACAATGTTTTTCTGTTTCTGCTCACTTCATTTTACATTAGTTCATGTGTGTCTTCCCAGGTTTTTCCAAAACCATCCTGCTTGTCATTTCTTATAGCACAATAATATTCCATCACTATCACGTACCCACAACTTGTTAAACCATTCCCATTGATGGGCATCCCCTCAATTTCCATGTCTTTGCCACCACAAAAAGAGATGCTATAAATATTTTTGTATAAATAGGTTCTTTTCCCTTTTTTCTGATTTCTTTGAGATACAGACCTAATAGTGATGTTGGTAGGTCAAAGGGTATCAAAATTGCTTTCCAGAATGGTTGGACCAGTTCACAATTCTAACAAGTCATTAGAGAACTTATTTAACTACATCCCCTCCAGCATTTACCATTTTCCTTTTCTGTCATGTTAGCCAATCTGATAGATGTAAGGTGGAACCTCAGAGTTATTTTAATTTGCATTTTTCTAATCAGTAGTGATTTAGAGCATTTTTTCCATGTGACTATTGATAGTTTTGATTTCTTCTTCTGAAAACAGTCTTTTCATATTCTTTGGCCATTTATCAATTGGAAAATGGTTCTTATTTTTATAAATCTGTCTCAGTTCCTTATATACTTGAGAAATATTTATTTTGTATATTAATAATTATAAAATTAATAATATGTAATGTACATTTTACACACACACACACACACACGCATACATTTGGAGTCATGTGGACTCCAGGCCAGCCCTCGCTCCAGTGTCACAGGCCTCTCCTTCCAACCTCCCAAGTTGTCTTGGGCTGGAGAAATATTTCACCCTGGCCTTTTGTTGACTCTGCTGCTACAGGAGTTATTTAAAGTTGTTTGCAGAGCTTGACTGTGGTGCTTCTTCTACTCTACCATCTTGGCTCTGCCCCCCTCAATCCAGTTTTGACTAGTGTAACTTAAATAGACAGGGCTGAGTCACCAGAGAACAACTGGGCATTTGCTAGCTGGCAACCTCTGCTTTAGACGGCAGCGTGCCTTTTGGGGACTAAGAAGGAGGAGAGGAGAGCAGAAAGACTACAGTATATCACTGTCTGCCACTCTCCTGAAAATTAACCTGGAAGCCAGATACCATGGAAATTATCCAACCTGAATTGTAAAAGTCATTCAACTTCAGTGAATAATTTATACTACTAACTCATAAAATCATATGGGCTAGTAGGGATTTTTTGAGATTTTCTGCTTCAGAAGATTTTAACCTGGGGACTATGAATTTTAAAAAGAGATAGAGACAGAGACAGACAGATAAATTGATGAAGAGATGTTGGATAGATAAATAACTATATTTCAATATAATTGGTTTCCTTTGTAATTCTATGGATTTTATTTATGCATTTAAAACTTCATTTTGAGAAGGGAGGAACAAGCTTGTTATTAAGCTTGTTATTGTTATTAATGTATTAAGCTCTTACTATGTGCCAAATGCTTTACAAATATTATCTCACTTAATCCTAACAACAACCTGGGGAGACAGGTGCTACTATTATCTCCTTTTTACAGTACAGGAAAGGGAGGGAGGAAAGAAGGAAGGAAGAAGGAAGGAAAGAAGGAAGGAAGGAAGAAGGAAAGGAAAGAGGAAAAGGAAGAAAAGAAGAAAGAAGAGAGGGAAGGAAGGAAGAAGGAAGGAAGGAAAGAAACCAAAACACCAAATACCAAAACAAGGTTATCTCCAAGCATCCTGCTTTCTTTCTCAGCTGAAACATCTGATTTTCCCTTTTATTTTATCTTCCAGCAATCCAAACTAATTATTAAACACTAGTGGTGACCATTAGTTATGTAAATTACCACAAATTTCCATCAATGGAGAGAAACGTTGTTACTATAGAAACAGACATTCTTCAAGCTTGAGTCAGTGATGCCACTGGGCCAGATAATTTGAACACATTGAAACACTAAGTCAAAATCTTAGATTCTAATACCCCCTTGGATGCCAACACAGATGGCACATTTGTTGCATTAGAAATGGACTCCAAGCTGAGAGAGCTAACGGGTATGTTAAAGGATGTAGTCCAATAAGGTCTGAGCAGACTAGAACTATGGGTAAAATCAAATAATAACATTTAACAATTTAGTAAGATTAAAGCAAAGTCTTACATTTAAGTTCAAAAATTAGGTTCAAAAAAGCAAGTATGAGCAGGAAACTGTGGTTAGGTAACATTTCATGTGAAAAAGATTCAGAAGTTTTCATGGACCACATATTCAATTTAAGTCCATTGTATTACAGCACAGACATAAAAACTAATGGAATCTCAGCCTCCATTCTGAGAGGCAGAGCGCCCAGGACTACCCATGTCTCTGCCATAGCCAGATCCCATCCTGACTGCCATGTTCAGATCTCGATGGCACATTCTAGGATAGATATTAATGGACTGGAAAACTTCAAAAATAGAGTCAACAGGATGGTAAACAGACCTTGAAGCCACATCACATGAAGAGCCATTGAAGGAACCTGAGATAAAAAATAGTGGGGACATGACAGTTTTCTTTGAAGATTTGAAAAACTGCCAAGTCAAACAGAAGAGATGAGCAGGAAGGGAACAAGCATTTATAAAGGGCCTACTATGTGTCAGGCATTGTGATAAGTACTTTACAAATATTATCTCACTCAATAAGTGTGATGACACTATTTTTTGCTTGGCTGCAGAGGGGAGAAGTAAGAGCAATGGATGAAAAATTCAGAGGCAAATTTAGACTTGATTTAAGGAAAACCTGAGTTTAAATCTTGGTCAGATACTAGCTGTGTAATCTTAGCCTAGTCATTTAACCTCTGTTTCCTCATCAATAAAATTACAACAATCAAGACTAACCTTCCTCCTTCCTAGGGCTGTTATGAAGAAATCACTTTGCAAACCTTAACGCACTATATAAATGCGAGTTTGTTGTTGTTGTTGTTGTTGTTTTTCACCACCCAAGTCCAAAATGAAGCAGGATGCCATTTTCCCAGTGCCCCTAAGGTTCTTTGTCCTGTGAGCAACTCTTCTCTTAGCTCAACCAAGGTGATTGTTCTGCTGCTACCTTTATCCTTTCTCTCATCTCTTCCTTCTTCCATGTCATCTTCTTCTAGATTTCCCAAGGCAATCATGCTCCCTCCCCTGCCTCCTTCAAATTCCTTCTCTTTCACTTCTCCCATGAAGTCTCTCATGGATAGTCCCCAGATGTTACCGCCACGACCCTCAATTTTACATAGTGTAGACTTAATGATGGTGGGGCTAATTTCAAGGATAAGAGGCAATCTTATGACAGAGAGTGAGCAGGAAGGCTGCCCATGCAGACCACAAGGCAGGGGGAGGAGAACTGAACTGAGATGAAAGAGTTACTTGGGTGTTATTGGCTTTCCTAAGCACTTGGAACCTTCAGAAAGGTTCTGGCAGCTGCATTTGCTGTAGACTCTATTGCCCAAGGTTGCAAGGCTTTCCAAAAATGATGAAAGACATACATAAGAAAACCCATGGGAACTCCAAGAATAAAAGCCAGCATCCTCGACTATGTAGATATACAACTAGAACCTTAACCTTAGCCTTAAATTCACATTGTGGAAAGTCTTTAAAACTTGAGGTCTACATGATCCACTGACAATTAATGTGAAGTAAAAAGTGGGGCAGTATCAATGACAAGTTTTTCCCCTCCAGTGTGAATTAGGAAGGCAGAGGCTACATAATTGTGGACCGACAGATCTGGAAAGGACATCTAGTTTATATGTCCAGAAAGTTACCAAACTGTGCACACCCTTGACTATTATGAGACCAAGACTCCAAAGAAATCAAAGAAAAAAGAAAAAGTGTTATGTATAAAATATTGTACATATCTGTACAGAAATATTTATAGCAGTTCTCTTCATGGTAGACAAAAGTAGAAATTAAGGGGGTCTCCTATTGGGAAATAGCTAAACAAATTGTAGTGTATGAAAGTAATGGAGCATGACTGTGCCACAAGAAATGATGAAATGGACAATTTCAGAGTACACTGGGAAGACCTCTATGAACTGATGCTGACCAAAGTGAGCAGAACTAGGAGGACAATGTAGAGAATGATAACATTATAGAGGAAAACGATTCTGAAAGACTTTAAAAGCTCTGATCAGTGCAATGATAAACAAGAAGTCCAAAAGAAGGAAGATGAAACATGCCAACAATTCCTTAACAGAGATGAGACATACATTTTTGGACATGACTAACGTGGGAATTTGTCTTGCTGGACTATGTAGATGCGTACTGAGAGATTTGGAAATTTTTTTTTTTGCTCAATGAGGGTGGGAGAGTGGGAGAAACAGATTAACAACAACAACAAAAATATTTGCTACCTGAAGAATTTTTAAAAAATTTTAAGAAATCATCTAGTTCAACCACTTCATTTTACATATGAGGAAACTGAGGCCCAGAAAAGCAAAATCATTTGACTAAGGTTACACAAC